GTCGAAGAAGTTTTCATAACGTCCTCCTATCCACACTGTCAAGTGCCTTTTCATAATCAATGAAGTTGATGTATAGTGACGAATTACACTCAACTGATTGTTCGACGATGATCCGTAGTGTCGCAATTTGATCTGTGCACGATCGATCGTTACAGAATCTAGCTTGTTGACCCCGAAGTTTGGCGTCTACTGCATCTTTCATCCGGTTCAGCAACACTCTGTTGAAGACCTTCCCTGGTATTGACAGCAGTGAAATGCGTCTGTTGTTTTCACATTTACTCAGGTCTGCTTTCTTTGAAATCTTGATGAGGTGCCCTTCTTTCCAGTCCATCGTCGCTTGTTCCTCCTCCCAAATCTTTTTGAATAGAAGGTAAAGCATGTTTGTAGTCAATTCGATGTCTGACTTCAGTGCTTCAGCTGGTATGTTGTTCGGTCTCGCTGCTTACCCGTTCTTGATTTGTTTGACGGCCATTCTGATTTATTCCTTCGTTGGTGGGTTGACGTCTATAGGAAGATCTATGTGTGCCGCTTCGATATCCGGTGGATTCATTGGAGCCGGCCTATTGAGAAGTTCCTCGAAGTACTCTACCCATCTGTTCCGCCGTTGTTGAATTTCAGTGATTGGCCTGCGTTTTTACTCTTTGAGCGGTCTCTCTGGTTTACTGTATTTCCCTGCTAGTTTCTTGGTTGTATCGTAAAGTTTTTTCATATTTCCTTCTCTTGCAGCTTTTTCCGCCGTCTTTGCTAGTTCTTCCACGTATTTCTTCTTGTCGGCTCTAATGCTCCTCTTCACTTGCTTGTTTGCCTCTGTGTATTCAGCTTGTGCTTGGACTTTCTCTGCTCGTGTTCGGCTGTTGTTAATTCCTGTCTTCTTGTTCTTCCTTTCTTTGATCTTGTCCAGTGTTTCTATAGAGATCCATTCCTTATGATGGTGTTTCTTTAGGCCCAGAACCTCTTGACACGTTGAAGTTGATGCTTCTTTGATACCTTTCCAGTTGTCCTCCATAGTAGTTTCTTCTTCCTTCAGTAGATCTTGTAAGGCTTGGAACATTTTGTTGAGAGATATCTTGAATTCGTTGATTTTGTTAGCATCTCGAAGGAAGGCTGTATTGAACCTTTGTAGTGCTGTTTGTCCACTTGTCCAGTTCTTTTTTAACTTCGGTTTCATCTTTGCCACAATTAGGTGGTGATCTGAAGCTATGTCAGCTCCTCTCCTGGTTCTCACATCTTCCATTGTCCTTCGGAATTTTTTGTTAATCCAAATATGATCTATCTGGTTCTCTGAAGTGTGGTCCGGTGAGATCCATGTAGCCTTGTGTATACGCTTGTGTGGAAATATTGTGCCTCCTATGATCAATTTGTTGAATGCACATAGATTTGCGAATCTTTCTCCATTTTCGTTTCTCTGTCCTAGTCCATGTCATCCCATGATATCTTCATATCCGGTGTTGTCTATTCCGACTTTGGCATTTAGATCTCTCATTAGAATGGTGAGGTCGTTTCCTGGGCACTTCTCTATGATTGACTGCATCCGCTCGTAGAATTGATCATTAATGTCGTCGTTGCTATCATTGGTAGGTGCATAACATTGGATAATATTCATTGTGATCCCCTCCTTCATTGTTTTGAATGATGCTTTGACGATTCTGGATCTGTGAGATTCCTATCCTACAAGTGCATTTCGTGCTACGGTGGACAGCATTAGAGCGACTCCCTGAGTGCGCGGAGCATTTTCCTTTTCATGACCGGAGTATAGCCGCATCTCTCCAGTAGCTAGCCTTTTCTGTCCAGCTTGGGTCCAGTGGGTTTCACTGATTCCCAGTACTGCCAAGTTGTATTTCCTCATTTCCGTCATAATTCTTATAAATGAAGACCTTCTAACTCCCAGGACCGAGTTAAAATGGTTTGAATTATTTTTTCTGGTAAGCGTTTTTTTAGCGAGTTAGTTTTCTATGGGATGGGGACGCTATCCTCATGCCCAACCCACCTCCTTTACACGGGCTTGGGACCAGTTTTATTTCTAGAAGAGCTACAGGCGGAGTTCCAGTATGACATCAGTCTACATCAAATAAGAGTTAAAAATGGGTTTACAGTCCAATAAATCGAAATTGAGTGACATCAAAATTTGAAGAGATTCGTAATGTCACGGGAAGTTTAAAAGCAAAAACTTAGGAATGTGACCCACTGTGGACAGTGACAGAAGGAAAATTATGTATAATTGTTCCCATCTCGATGCGATGTGATTAGAATTAATCACTCGATAATATGCATATAAACATCATAGTAAGGTTTTGTTACGGCAACCGACTGAGTTTTCAAAAGTATAATCTTATGGAATAGTGTTTTTAATACTTGTTTTGTGATTTTTAACTGTCCGACGGCTTTACTCTTTGTTCATCATCCTATTCAAAGCATCCAGTTTTTAAATAATAGGTTTCTTACGTGTCGCACGAAACCACTTGAAAGTACAAAGTGTCGACCAGCTTGTTATGGACTTGAAGGAAGTAATCCTCACTCCCATACATAGAACAGGAGTAAGAAAAATTCCATCGAACTACAACCCTTTAAGTCTCACCAGTGTCGCAGTTAAAATGTTGGAAAGAATAGTCAAACGGATCATTACAACATGCTTTTAGAAAGGGTTTATCGTGTACCACGAAACTCCTTATAGCAAGGGAATTTTGGATAAAGGCGTTACACAACGGAAAATCAGTGGATGTAGTCTACATAAACTTCAGTAAGGCTTTTGACAAGGAGCCAACTAATAGTCTTCTACTGAAGTAAGAAAATCTTGGTATTGCCAGACCTCTACTAAATGGCTTAAGGATTTCCTAGTAGGTCGTAGACAGAAAGTAAGAATAAATTCCAAGTGCTCCATCTGGAGACCAGTAATTAGTGGAGTACCTCAAGGTTCTGTCGTATGTCCTTTACTTTTTATACTGTATGAAAATGATCTCCCTAGTGTAGTACGCCGATGATGTAAAGATCTGACGAGTAATAAGTGGAGACGCACACATATGCGCTCTTCAGGCAGACTTAAATAATATGATTAACTGGTCTAAAGTGTGGCCGATGCCTATCAACGCGACAAGGTGTATCTACATGCACTTTGGGGATACAAAGGTTAATGGGTACAGCATGGAGGAAGTGCCGGTACCCGTGATGCGGTCTCATAAGGATCTAGAGGTGACAGTGAGTCATTAACTTAAGATGATAGCTCATTGCCAGGAGGTTGCAACTAAGGGGTTTCGATTCCTCTGGGCTTTAAAACGGACATTCACTCAGTTAGATACTACCACGTTCATCACAGTATACACAATCACAGTGAGAACTGCGTTCAGGCTGCAAGCCCCTGTTCAAAAGGTGAATCAGATATCCTAAAAACAGTACGGAGGGCAGCTACCTTACAATTCTAGAGCTCCGCGGTTCGCCATACAAAGAGCGGCTTGAGAAGCTTGAACTCTTTACTCTGTCCCATCGCAGACTAAGGGGAGATCTAATTTTGATATACAGAATACTGAAAAATAATTTTGGACCCAACTTATTTTCGCTTTTTCTTCCCACTAGATCAGGACATCTCAGAGGACATATATGACAAGTAGAAAAGCTAAGAACGAACGAAATTCCCCTGGCATACATGTTTTTACACCGAGTCTCCAATACTTGGAACCTGCTGCCCGAAGCAGTGGTGTCCGCAACTTCAATTGACTTGTAGTGTGGCTTCGAGTTGCGGTTGACTATGATCACCTCCACAGGAAGACTACCTGCCAGTTAACCGATAAGATCGTCCGTAAGCCAAATATCAGAAGGCAGTTGGTGGTTGTGCTCGAGATGTATTCGTTGGCGATCTCGGTGGTATTGAAAGAACACTGAGATCACGCCAGGTTACAATTGTGGTTACTGAGCGTAACCGAGTTCGTGTAAGGTCACAAACAATGTATTTGTTTTAGCACAGTTAAACAAACAAGTACGGTAAAAACAATCCGTGGTACAATTAGCTATAATAATAATTGTTTCCATTACACCAACCGCGTTCTCATGATAAAAGGTCACTACAGACTCTTTCAAGAGGAGACTGGACACTCACAAAAGCACACTGGAGAAAGAATAACGTAGGCTGTAGGCTTTCTGTCCTTACTACATAAATCTGAAATCTGATTACATGATTTTGTTATAGTACTTCATGTTTATCTCGGTAATTAGCAAGCTATATTGCAGCGGGGTTTTAAACACACGGTAGTGTAACATGTTTGAAAACTTACAATACTAACTTCTTGTTCCGATTATCAGGTCAAACTAACCTCACTTTCGTGTTCCTTCTGATTACTGCCAGTTGCTTTTGGTCATATATGCAAATACATTATGTGCCAATTGAGTCATCGGCTCACTTATCCTTCTATTCCAGATATTCTCACTGCTACTAACATTCATCTAACACACAAGGTACCTTCAGGCTAAAAGCAAACCTTCCAAAGACTGATCTTTATATTGTTGTAGCGAGTTAGTCGGTTTGTTTCTGGTTTCGATGTCAAGGCTGTCTGAATCCAATGCTTGTATTAGTGCTATCTGTTGTGCATTCTTTCCTTAATAAATGTAAGTGTATTATGTGTGCTTGCTCAGCCGTCGATCCACTTTTACTTCTTTTTTCCTCACAGCTGTCGCCATGTTACTCTACATGCTCTCCGGTACACAAAGTATCTTCTGGCTAGGTGCAAATCACTAAAAGTAGGGCTAGTGGTAGCTTCGAGTCCTAATTCTTACGTCAACATTATTGGCTGTGATTATCGAACTTTCGTAATAGTGCGATTTTGTTTTCTTTAGTTGTCGATAGTTTTGGTTATTAAATGTAAGTGGATTCTATGTTTACTGGGTCGTCGACTCACTTTTTCTTTTGCTCTCTTTTCTAGCTTTCGTCACGGACTCCACTTTGCACGCTCCCCTAGCAGTCTGAGCATTTTCAATTTTGACGCGAAACGCTATATATTACGTCAACTTTAGACATGACACTTCCTTATGGAATCCAATCTACCGCCTTGCTAAATACTTCATATATTGGAAACACATCGAAGCATGTATCAGAAGAGTTCTTGTTTTTAGAATCCAAGTGGGCTCAAGTATTTACAGGATTAGTTGCTTTTACTGCAATTGTCATTACCTGTCACCAAGTTAGTTTGCTTACGGATTTTCGCTTGTGGGCGTTTAGTTTAGAAGTTCTTAAAGTTTCTATTTGTGTCTAGAATCAAGTATTTTGGATATTCGTAAGGAGTTTGTCTGCACTCATATAACCAACATCCAATAAAGAAATATCACTTATTTAAAACATTCATTTGATCTCATAGAACAGTTTGTTTAATTTATTATTAACAGCTCGTAGTTAAAAGTATATACAGATTTAGTTCAGTAATACAAAACTTTTAATATAGACGCTCGGAATAGCCCTTCAAAATCTAGCCGTTTTCAGACTGTCAGTACCCAAGTGATGAACATCCATACTTCATAACAAAACATGCTAAACTGAAATGTTTTACGTTTATAAATCCCTTTAAGAGGTGACATGGTTCGTATACGTCCTCGTTAAAATGGTTATTCCATCTGTGCATAGTACCGTTTTTCTTATTTCTTATTACTGTATTTGAACACAAACATTAGCACAAGGGGGCACAAAATATATATGCGCCACACAATAACAATGGCACCAGTAGCAGTTATCCCGACCGTTGTTGCTACCATCCCGGCAGTTATCCCGACCGTTGTTGCTACCTTGACGTGGTGGTCGGGCTTGCCTATCGTGATGAAGCAACCGAGCTATACTGGCGGGAACAACCGTTCCTCAAGGTCCTACCATGTCAGACTGGTCGGTTGAAGAGCGGTAAGACTAAAAGCAACAAACCTAAGGTCCGAAGGCGAAGTCGTACTGCTGACTGTTCAGAGGTGTGACAGCAGTAAGGTGTTTCCTTCAGACAACCAGCATGACAGCGATGCTGCCTTCCCACAAGGAGGGGTGGGGTTAGAAAAGGTCGACCCTAAAAATGCACATCTCACCTTACCCCACGGATTTCCGTCTCCGGCGGTAAGGCCCTTTGAAGAACGGAGCTAACATGTCAAAAACCTTCCACGAAAAGGCCGTGCGCGACCGGCCTCAAGCAGTTGTCCCTTGGGCACTGCGGTCACGCTCTCAGGTCGCTGAGACCGCCTCTAATCCAATTTCATTTTCAGGTACCTCCAGAAGAACCCTTCCACGGTGTGGGCAACCGGGAAGTGATAACCGCCCTCATACCTCTAACAGCACCGAAGACCATTGTATTCATAATCAACCTTCCTCTTCAATTCCTATTATTTCTCCTACATCGACTTTCAACCCTAAACTTCCTCCTTTGGCTTCCTCCTCAAACGTCACCATAGCCAACGATTCTAGTGCTCAAAACTCTGTCCCAGGTCTACTGAAACCTCGCTCCAAACTACACATTGGAGCTTTCAACGTACGCACTCTATGTCAAATCGGTCAGAAGGCTTCCTTGGCTAAAACACTAGAGTCTCTTTCCATTGATGTATGCTGTGTCTCCGAAACACGCATACAGGATTCCAGTGTGGTCATTCACTTGACCTCACCTCGGCAAAACGGAGAGCCAACGAGATACACCCTACGTGTATCTGGTGACCCGATGGCCAGTTCTCGTGGACTGGCAGGTGTAGGCATAGCACTAAGCATGAGGGCGGAACAAGCACTACTAGAGTGGATTCCCATCAACAGTCGTCTATGTGCTGTTCGGCTAAACGGCTCCGTAAGAACTCGGAAGGATAGGGACACACGTCGTTGCCTTTTTGTCGTTTCTGCCTACGCTCCCACTGACTGCAGCTCAGATGATGTGAAGGATGAATTTTACAGAAAGTTATCTGAACTTCTTCAGAAAGCTAAACGCTCAGACATAGTACTCGTAGGGGGTGACTTTAATACCCAGATAGGTAGCTTAAACCACACAGAAAGGCATTTAGGTGGATATTTTAGCATTCCGGCACAGCGAACAGATAATGGTGACCGTCTGCTGCAACTGTGCTCAGACAATCGCTTATTTTTAGCAAACACAAATTTTAAGCATAAGGAGAGACATCGTCTAACATGGCGACCCCCTACACCAAACCAACGATGGACTCAAATAGACCATATTGCCATCAGTCATCGTTGGAGAGGGTCGGTAGAAGATTGTCTTCTGGTAGCACTGAGCAACAATGCCAGGATGTTTGGAATGCGCTTTTCTCCCTCTAAATGCAAGTTGTTGCTTCAGGACTGGTCTGCGTTAACACCTGAACTAAGGATAGGGAGTGAAGTAGTCGAACGCGTTGACAACTTCACTTATCTTGGAAGTCTGATCAGCCCTAATGGGTTGGTATCGGACGAAATCTCAGCACGGATTCGAAAAGCTCGTTTGGCTTTTGCCAACTTACGTCACCTGTGGCGAAGGCGAGATATCCGTCTATCAATAAAAGGACGAGTATACTGCGCGGCAGTCCGTTCTGTTTTAATTTACGGCAGCGAAACATGGCCTTTAAGGGTAGAAGACACTCGTAAGCTACTAGTATTTGACCACAGATGCCTTAGAAATATTGCTAGCGTCTGCTGGGATAATCGGGTAAGTAATAATGAGGTTAGACGCAGGGTATTAGGAAATGATGGTAAATCAGTTGATGAGGTTATGAATCTTCATCGACTGAGATGGTTGGGCCACGTGTTACGTATGCCTGAACACCGATTACCACGACGTGCAATGCTATCCGGTGTTGGGGATGGTTGGAAGAAAGTTAGGGGCGGCCAAACCAAAACGTGGCATCAGTGCTTGAAGTCACTAACTTCTAGTCTGAGCCATGTTGGTAGATGCAGACTACTTGGTTGGGGTCCGCGTGACTATCGTAACCAATGGTTGGAGACTCTTGGTGACATGGCTCAGAATCGATCACAATGGCGTCGGTGTATACACTCGGTTTCTTCCCTTAAACTAAGAGATTAAAAGCGCTTCATATCTTTCTTTCTACTAACCAATTCTTTCTTCTTGTACTATATCTCTATATGCAATCTTTCTCTTATATATTACCACCTTTTACCTAACCACTGTTATGAATCCGGTGTTCATCTTGTTGTGCTGATGCGGTATGGCAACCTGGACCGATGCACATATGTGCCTGGTCCTACGTTGTAGCTGACTGAGTAGCAGTTATCATTGATTTGTGTGAGGGCTGTGGTACTATCCGAACTTCCGGACATAAGCAGGTGGTTTTCTTAGGGGGCCACATCCGGAGCCTATGACTTAAAGGTTTGATCTACAAGGCAGTGGAGCAACGTCAGGAGATGCAGTCCCATGATAATCGGTGACCAACAATTAGTTAATACGCCATTTGTTCCTTCAGGATCCTGGAGCACATGTGCACCATTGGTTTGGAATCGAGATTTTACAACTCTCCTAGTTGAACCCTCCACATTCACCGACCCGGTCAAAGCGCCGGACATTCGCTTTTCGTTCTTTCGATTTCTTAAACAACAGTAATGCTGTGAGAAGGCAGTGAGTAGGACTTTCCAGGCAGTGGTTGTATGCACGTGTTCATGTTAGAGCATTTCGAGAGGGAGCGCTGACTCTCCCCACTCTCGGCCGTATCAGGGAATTCGGGGGCATATGAATCATACGAATCAGTTATCAGTAACTAAACGTATCTGTTTAAGTTTACAGATAAAACTCATGACTGACCCAATTAAAGGCCTTCTAAACGTTGTGATATACAATATTTGCCTTACCTTTACAATCGCGAATGTTGGTCGAGGTAACCAACACTCATTAGATTCACAATACAAGAGTGACCCTTCTTGATATCCCTTCATTGTTGGTAAGAAGAATGTCTAGATGTCCAAAACAAGTTAAAAGTTAATGACTTTTAAAAATTTGCACATTAGGTAAATGATATTGTTATCAGAAATCTATATTTTCCAGTGAGTGAGAACGGAAATTTGTTTTTAACGACGATTCATTATCTAATACCAATAGCCTTGTCAAAGTAATAGTCTATTATTTTGGCACATTTTTTTGTCTTTTCATTTAACAACAAGAAACTGTAAGTGGCGAAATAAGTTTTATTGATAGAAAATAATCCCACAGACCACCATAAACTAAGCTCGATAAATTCGAAGATTCATAAAGAAACAGTCATCGGGCTGTGGTGAAATGAAGCATTTACTGACCATCGAGCGTTTTCTGTAGATGCTGTTGTCTGCACTGATTTGGCACTTAGGTTAGTCTCTGAGGTTCTTGGTGTACTTGTTACGGAAGCTGTCGTTTGTGATAACTGTGGGTGATTGTTTGAACTTTTGTGAATACTGACTAGCCAGGAACATTTGCATCCGTATCGTTTGTAGTTGAGGCATTTGGACCTATAATTAAGTAACAATGGCTTGGGCCTGTTAAATGTGATAAACTATTAACGTTAAATGAATTATCGGTTTAGTCTGGTACTAGTGTCTATATTCTTTTAGGGGCTTAGCGGAAAGGTCCCTAGCTTGTTTATTCTGCCTTTTTGTGATATCGTTGTTAATTCGTTTATATTCCGCCCAAAAGTACTGTTTCATTTTCGGCGTTGAGAACTATGTTACATATAACTTGGCTGCCTGAATATTTTACGAAACCATACGAGTGTAATCACTTTCACCTAAAACATCCAGAACCAAGAAGTTATCAACTAGAATTTCTACATTAGTGAAGATTCATTCTAGACATGAGGGTGCTTGACTGTTCTCATTGATCCGCCGACCCGATGTTCCCGGGTAATCTTAGCTTTATAATGTTAAATGATTAGGCTTAAATAAGGTCATTTTCTCAACTGTACTTGCGTTAAACGAAGTTGACTTTAGGAGAGACTGAAGTCTCTGGAGAATTGGATATGACTGTATCGTAATTTAGGAGGACGACTTAATCATTTCAACACCACATCTTCTAAATGGATGCGAACAGTAAGTTTTCTGTAAGCAACATCCACTAGAAACCTTGTGGCTCTAGGCTATTCAGTTGTGTGCCATGCAGATTTAAACTAGCTGTTGTGTATACGTGATGTTCTACCAAGCATGAGCCTAAGAATAGGACAGCTACGCATCCTACGTCAGGTATTTTGTCATTACTAAATAAAGACACTTGAAATATTTAGCTCCTGATCATTAGTTTTAGAGAATATACGTACTTTTGTTACCCCTATTAGATGAGGATTGTTTTCACTACTTAGTTTTCCGTAACCCACTCATTTTGCTAAGTAAATATGGTGCGTTCGTATTTAACAGACTAATACTTGGTATTTTGAGAAGGGTTAGTCATGGAGATTAGAGAGGTATTAGGAGGTGTAGGAAGGGTTTGAATGTGACCAACTTGGTCTCGTGTGCTGTTACGGGTATGAGGGCTGATATCACTTCCCGGCTGCCCACACCACGGAAGGGTATTTCTTGAGGAACCTGAAAAGGAAATTGGATTAGTGTTGGTCTTAACGACCTGGGAGCATGACCGCAGAGCCCAAGGGACAACTGTTTGAGGCCGGTCGCGCACGGCCTTTTGTGGAAGGTTTTTAATGTGTTAGCCCCGTTCTTCAAAGGGCCTTACCGCCGGAGACCGGAATCCGTGAGGTAAGGTGAGGTGTGACATTTTTAGGGTTGACATTTTCTAACCCCACCCTTCCTTGTGAGAAGGCAGCATCGCTGCAGATGCTGGAAACACTTTACTGCTGTCACACCCCTCTACAGTCAGCAGTACGACTTCGCCCTCAGACCTTGAGTTGCTGCTTTTAGTCTTACCGTTCTCCAATCGACCTGCCTGGCATGGTAGAACCTTGAGGAACGGTTGTTCCAGCCAGTATAGCTCGGTTGCTTCATCACGATGGGCAGGCTCGACCACCACGTCATGGTAGCAGCTTCGGTCGGTCGCCATCGATGTGTGCTGCGTCTCCGAAACGCGTATACAGGATCCGAGTAGCGTCGTTCATTTGACCTCACCATGCGAAAATAAAGAACCGACTCGATTCACACTTCGTGTATCTGCAAGCGCTGATTCTGCCTCCCGTGGCCTCGCCGGTGTAGGTATAGCATTGAGTTCTAGGGCAGAACTAACTCTCTTTGTGTGAGGGCTGTGATACTGCCCGGGTGCCTAAACCGAAGCAGGTGGTTTTCTTAGGGGGCCACTCCCAGAGCCTTCGACCCGAAGGTCTGATCCACAAGGCAGTGGAGCATCGTAAGGAGATGCAGTCACATAGTAGCCGGTGACCAACAATAGGTTCATACACCATTTGTTCCTTCAGGATCCTGAAGCCTATGTGCACCATTGGTTTGAAATGAGGGTTTTCCAACTTCCCTAGGTCAACTCTCCATGTCCACTAACCCGGTGAGGCGCCGGAAAACCTGTTTAATCTAAAGATGGTTTTTACTATGGACAGAAGTAATCTGAAAAACTAGTAAAAATCAACAAACACTACAGGGCTGTTTTGTCTCTAGTCTCGAACCATCATCAGTGCGTTACTTGTTGCAGACCAGATTTTGTAGGAGCCACAATATGTGTATACTTCTAAATCGGATAGTTCACACATGTAACGCCAGTCATTTTGCGACTTATGTACCATCAATCAGCGCCCTCCACTAAAGTCTGATTTTCAACAATCCTCCAACTGATACCAGTTCGATTTGGAAATATTGGATATATCAGTAATTCGCTGAAGGAAATGCATCGGTAAAAGTTGGCAGATTTATTTTCCAAATAGACTATATCATGATCTTCCAATTCTGAAATATAGCATCTGTATAGGTATATTCTCAGGCATCATCCAGTTGCATTCTTCAAATATGTGTGTTTAGAAATGCTTTAACGTAAGAAAATTAGTCAGTGTTCATAAATTTTATATTCAAATAATATGAAAATGCTGTGATTTTGATGAATAGTACTGAGAAAGCAATTCTATATTAGCTCCTTATGTTCGAGTAGTCAGTTGTGTTAACATGAACAATATCAGCAGTGAAAATTCACAAAAATAATAACAATCAGCTAAGATGACGTGCTGAGGGACTAATCTGAAATAACCACATTGTAAACCGAATAATGGTTATTATGTGTAAGTGGAGCAATGACATAATATATATTCCAAAGCTACCTAACCTATTACCGTTTGAGGATCCGAATAGTACAGTAGGTCTCACACGAAAAGTATAGTTTATAGTTGAGTACACAAATCTGTATTCAGTTACTGATCCAAATTAAATTTGTATAACAGTGGTTCGGTGTTTAGGACTCAACTTTCAACCACTGAGTTGTATACTCAAACCCCATCTCCAGTTTAGATAGCTGGGTAAAGTCGTCAGTTTACACGATGTAGCTTAGGAGCGACTGCATGATCCTATATTTAAATACCGAGTTATACTAAATGTTAAACCATTCAGAAATAATATACTTTGCATATAATGAGTTGTTTTATTTACTAAACTAATTAAGAGTATAGCTTGTTCTTGTACATGCATATTAGCTTCTTACCGTTATTATTAATTTCTAAACAGATTTATTTGCATCTAATTAATTATACTTGTCCAAATGAACAAAGATGGGTCGTTCGAATTTTATTCTACGTGCCAATCTATGCATTTGAGTCATGGCTAAGCTTGCTTTTCCTAAAACATGAAGATTACTATGTGTATTTCGATTCTGTACGAGATTGTTATGAAGGTTAGTTTTGGTTTGAAAACGTATACAGTATCTGTTTTATTTATTGGGGTGTATTTCATACAAGTTTGACCAGCATTGTTTTGTAAGATAATTATAGGAAGGTGTGTTTGGTTTTGTGGTAACATATTATTTGCCTAAAGTGATCTCATCTGAATAAGGAGCCTCTTTGATGCTGCATTTAAACTTTGAAGATGTGGTATCAGACATGCAATATGGATTGCTTCAATTAGTATGAACATGTGAGCAAAAGTTTTTATTATGTGAAATACAGTATTCTTAAGTGATTATCTCTCATTCTATATCCTCTCCACCTTTCACCCTTTGTTACGATATTTTTAAGCAATCGGTTAAAACGACCCACTTCAAAGAGATGAAATCCTTGAAAATAACTTAACACATGTAAAAATCAGTAACTAGTTATCGATTTTTAAAATTCACTTCATATTCAGTCATAAAACACAAATGAAAATATATAAATCTGAAGTTAGTTAACATCATGGACTAAATTCGGCTAGATATACTTGGATGAGAAATAAAAGTTATATTTCAAGATGATCATATTGTTAGCAGTTTCATAAGTGCCTTTGTGGATCAACGCTCATTAGTTGTTCCTTCAACGTGTGATGTACATAGTAGAAAGGTTTATTCTACGTCCATAATTCATCCTATGTTGTCAAGTATTTTGATGTAATTTTTGTGCTAAAATTTTCTCTAAAAATATAGTATATTCTCAAATTGATTGTATTATGTTTTGTAATATAATATGAAATGGTTTGGATTATCCCGTTGTTAGTATTTTGACTGAAACTTGGCCAATCTTGCTACATGCCATCTATTATATATTAACTTGTGTCATAATGGATATATCGAGGCAATTCGTATGGGATGCCAACTGAAACTGATCATATTTCAGTCAAAATATCAACAAGTGAAGAATATAAACGATTTCAAATTGAATTAAAAAACTCATTCCCTTTACACAAGTGCGTGACTCCTGGACTCAGTATCTAAGTGGGCAACACGATGGTGTTTGAAGCAAACGATACTGGGTTTGAGTCCCGGAGTGAACATTAACTCTGGAACGCAGGTATATCCAGCTGACGAGTCCCGAATAGGACGAAACGCGCGTTTTGGACTCCACTGATAACCATATGCTATTTAATCTCTATTAATCGTATTTTTCTATAACATAAACTGACTTTCATAAATAATGTTGGTGTAGCTCATTTAACAAGTACCTGACTATTTCCTCAACTTGTAGGGATTCTCTATTAATGTGAACGATAGTTACACTACTCAGCTACCTAAGTAGAAATAAGTGAAGTGAATTTCGAGCCTGCCACTCAGTGGTTGAAGGTTGAGTGGATAAATCACTTGGTCACCATCCCAATTAATCGATTTTGGAGGCATATCTGCCTTATGGATCCAGATAATCCTAAATATTTCTGAGCAGAGTTGTTTGCCTTTTACTTCCGAAACATAAAGTACCAGATTGTTATTTCATATCCATCATCTTACTGAAGGAATTGCACTCCGTGCCCCTAAACGCCCTGATACGGCCGAGAGTGGGGAGAGTCAGGGCTCCCTCTCGAAATGCTCTAGCATGAACCGTTGTTGCTACCTTGACGTGGTGGTCGGTCTTGCCCATCATGATGAAGCAACCGAGCTATACTGGCTGGAACAACCGTTCCTCAAGGTTCTACCATGCCAGGCAGGTCGATTGGAGAACGGTAAGACTAAAAGCAGCAACTCAAGGTCTGAGGGCGAAGTCGTACTGCTGACTGTAGAGGGGTGTGACAGCAGTAAAGTGTTTCCAGCATCTGCAGCGATGCTGCCTTCTCACAAGGAAGGGTGGGGTTAGAAAAGGTCGACTCTACGAATGCACGCCTCGCCTCAGCCTACGGATATCCGTCTCCGGAGGTAAGGTCTCAACGAGTACGGAACTGATACAAAAATTAGCCATAAAAAGGTTGTGTGTGACCGACCTCAAGCAGTTGTCCCTTGAGCATTGCGGTCATGCTCTCAGGTCAATATGACCACCTCTAATCCGATTTCCTTTTCAGGCACCTCCGGAAGAACCCCTCCACGGTGTGGGCAACCAGGAAGTGATAACCGCCCTCATACCTCAACAGCACTCAAGACCACTGTATTCATAATCAACCTCTCTCTTCAATTCCTATTATTCCTTTTACATCGACTTTCAACGCTAAAATTCCTCTTTCGGCTTCTCCCTCAAGTGTTACCATAACCAACGATTCTATTGCGCAAAACACTGTCCAAGATCTACAGAAACCTCGCTCCAAACTACACATTGGAGCCTTCAACGTACGCACCCTAAGTCAAATCGGTCAACAAGCTTCCTTGGCTATAACCCTAGAATCTCGTACCATTGATGTATGCTATGGCTCTGAAGCACTCATACAGGATCCCAGTGTAATCATTCATTTGACCTCACCTCGGCAAAACGGAGAGCCGACGAGATACACCATCCGTGTATCTGGTGACCCGACGGCCAGCTCTTGTGGACTAGCAGGTGTGGGCATAGCACTAAGCATGAGGGCGGAACAAGCACTGTTAGAGTGGGTCCCCGTTAACAATCATTTATGTGCTGTTCGGCTAAACGGCTCCGTAAGAACTCGGAAGGATAGGGACACATGTCGTTGCCTTTTTGTCGTTTCTGCCTACGCTCCTACCTACTGTAGCTCAGATGAAGTGAAAGATGAACTTTACAGAAAGCTATCTGAACTTCTTCAGAAAGCTAAACGCTCAGACATAGTACTCGTAGGGGGTGACTTTAATACCCAGATAGATAGTTTAAACCAAACAGAAAGGCATTTAAGTGAGTGTTTTAGTATTCCGGTACAACAAACAGATAATGGTGATCGTCTTCTGCAACTGTGCTCAAACAATCGTTTATTCTTAGAAAACAAATTTCAAACATAAGGAGAGACATCGTCTAACATTGCGACCCCCTACACCAAACCAACGATGAAATCAAATAGACCATATTGCCATCAGTCATCGTTGGAGAGAGTCGGTAGAAGATTGTCGCTCATTCTGGTGTACGTCCTTGGACTCCGACCATGTCCTAATACGGGCACGCATCTGCTTGCGCCTCACTGGACGCAAAAAAGCCACACTAAAAAGACCCATTGGAACTGAATTGAGTAGCGAGAAAACCAAAAGTAGATTCCAGGAACAACTGAGGTCACACTTCGATAGTTCTGAAAACGAAGCTGACCCTGATGTTGCTTGGAAAGATAAACAAACAGCTGTGGAAACAGCAGTGACATATATCAGTGATTTAAACTACTGTTACAAAGAACCAATGGATTTCTTTAAGGTCTATTGCACTGATGGATTCTTGTAATCTCATCTCATCAGGTTCTGAACACGATGAAGAGCGTAAACAAATCAGATATAGGTTAAGAAAAAGTCTAAGGAACGACCGTGAGCAGTGGTGGGCAACGAAAGCGAAAGAGATGGGAAAGGCGGCGGCTATAGGGAACACAAGACAGCTCTACAGACTAATAAAAGAAACTGGAATTAATAAGTGAAGTGTAAGTTAGACTATTTCGGAAAAATACGACACTCTCATATGCTCCCAGTCCAGACATTCGGAACGATGGGCAGAACATTTCAGAGAACAGTTCAGCTGGCTTCAGCTACTCTAAAACTACCCTCCATTCTCAGACAGTGTGAATGGAACATTGAAGTAGGTCTTCCAACTCTAGCAGAAGTTCAAAAGGCTATAGCTAATCTGAAACGAGGAATGGCAGCTGATCCAGATTGATTGGCAACAGAGGTCTTTAAGGATGGTGGTCCAATTTTAGCGATTAGGTTGACTAATATTTTAGCTAAGATCTGGGAGTTGGACGTTATCCCATTTGACTGATCACAATCACTTATCGTCCCAATATATAAGAGAGGGTTAAAATCATCCTGTGACAACCATAGAGGGATTAGTTTAACTAATATAGTATCTAAAATACTAGCCTCGATAATTATCGGACGCCTGACTAAGACTCGTGAACTGAAAACACGAGAGAACCAAGCTGGCTTCAGATCTGGTCGTGGCTGCATCGACCACATATTCACCATTCGTCAGGTTCTAGAACATAGGCATGTTTATCGGCGTCTGAGCATGATGGTTTTTCTCGACTTAAAAGCAGCATTTGACTCCGTAGACCGCGAGATTCTGTGGCAGTGTCTGTCACTGAAAGACGTACCTCAGAAGTACGTAAACCTTGTGAAGGCTCTTTACTCGAACACTACTAGTCGAGTCAGAGCTTATGGCGAACTGTCATCTACTTTTGCAACTTCAAAGTGGTGTCCGTCAAGGCTGTCCACTTTTTCCATTTTTGTTTAACTTTATCATAGACCTACTGATGGAAATACCTTTCTCGTCGACTGAATTCTCGGGTATTGATCTCCTTCCAGGAGGTCTACTTATCAACATAGAATGCGCGGATGACATAGTCCTGTTTGGTGGAGAAGCTGATAAAATGCAGAGTCTTCTGGTAGCACTAAGCAACAATGCCAGAATGTTTGGAATGTGATATTCTCCCTCTAAATGCAAGTTGTTGCTTCAGGACTGGTTTTCGTCAATATCTGAACTAAGGATAGGGAGTGAAGTAGTCGAGAGCGTTGACAACTTCACTTATCTTGGAAGTCTAATCAGCCCAATGAGTTAGTGTTTAACGAAATCTCAGCACGTATTTTAAAAGCTCGTTTGGCTTTTGCCAACTTACGTCACCTATGGCGAAGGCGAGATATCCCATCTGTTAATTGAAGGACGATTATACTGCGTGGCAATTCATTCTGTTCTACTTAACGGCTACGAAACGTGGCCATTAAGAGTAGAAGATACTCGTAAGCTACTAGTATTTGACCACAGATGCCTTAGAAATATTTATTATTTTAACACATAGATATTGGTACAGTGAGGCACCAAATACACATGCGCCACACAAATCTCATTCGTTATATGTGAGGGCTGT